TGAATTGTGTGGTGTTGTGGACTTTCTACCTGTCATGGAATCCTGAATCATGTTTTGAAATAAAAGGTGCTCGAAAATGTGCTTTAAAATAACGTCTCCCGTGCGAATAGGGCAAAAGTGTGTAAGGGGAGACGGGAATCCGTTCCCAATTTCCACCTACTACCTCCAGCCCCCTTACATTTCTTTCCCCCGCACGAGGCTCGAGACATCCGCTCTTCGCATGGACGGTAAGAGACGAACCAAAGAGAGAGAGAGAGGGCGATTTGAGGGCATTCTTGGAGTGGAATTGGAGGATTTCTTCGCCTTGGAAGCTCGAGGAACAAGCCCGAACTTGAAGACTAATTATCTGAATATTCTTACTGCATTCTCTCTTTTCTCTACGGAGTAACTTCCTTCACTTAGGTTTTGAGGAACCCTAGCTATGTTTGTTTGATTGGATGATTGTATGAGTACTCCTACTTGATAATCTTGAGTTCATATTCAATCTATGCACGTTTTCATGATTCAATTATGCTTTAGTCGAGATTACTGATTCTGCTTTGATCCTATGAGAGCGAATTCATGATTAGGTCAATAGAGCACCATAGATTGATAGTATTGGATCGATTGATTTAGTCGAGGATCGATTCACTGCTTTGTATCGATTGAGAATCTCATTCGATAGAGGGAGTCTAGTTCAGAATGCCTTGATCGGTTGTTCTAGATAAAGATACGTCCCTCTAGGCAATCGACTCAAGAGGGCCTTGATCCTTTAGTCGAGATTCAAGGTCTAGTCAAGGATTCTCCGCATTGTGAATGAAAGTGAAACAAGTTAGAAATCATCAATCATTAATCTGGCTAGTGGCTAGGGGGAATCATACCTAAGTGAGTTCCCAACCTGTAATTAGATTAACTTTAATTGTAGTTTGTTATAGTAGTTTTAGTTCTTCCATCTTAATCTGGTTTGCTAGATAATGAACTGAAGCTGAGTAATAGTAACTCTAGAGACCCGTGGATTCGATATTTATTACTTGAGCCACTATACTACAATCCCTTTCATTGGTTACACTTGGCCATTGTTAGGAGTTGTGTCATAGCGAGTCTGCGATCCCCTCGTCCAGAGGGTGGATCGCCTAGAGACGAACTTCGTGTGATTCTCTTCTCGCCTTGACCGGCAAACCAATATCCTCGAGCTGATGGCTCGACATCAGGGCCTCCTTCCAGATGAGAGGGAGGGTCCTTTCACCCGCGAGAGGTAGTCGACGAGTGAGATACGTGACAGAGACGATTTCTTTTGCCCCACTTCTCCACTTGTAACACTGAACTTGTTGTTTTTGTTATTTTCTTTCTTTTGTGTGTGTGTGTGACCATAAACTACTACTACTGTCGTATTGAGTTTGTAATAACCTAGCCTTGAGAAAGTCATATTGTGTTTGTGTGTGTGTTTTTGTCTCTCCTTGAAGCTCAAATATCCTACCCCGGAATCGATTCCAACTTGTACGCACCAAGCCCAAGCGGTAACATCATTCTACCCCTTTCTTACGCCATTGAGGGCAATAACGGGCTTAAGTGTGGGGGTAGTTTACTATTATGCTTGGTTGAGTGTGATAAATACTTGGAGCCTTATGCATGCCAAAATTTGAAAAATTTGAGGGCTTCAAGCAATGTTTGCATGATCAGAGTGGCCGGTGTGTGGGAAAATATCGTGCTTATTGGCATTGATCTTGAATTGTTGCATATGATCGAGTATATCCTATGATGATGACTGAGAGGTCCATTAGGATAGTGCAAAAGTTTAGTTCTCATGTGTGCATAAATGAATAGAAGTCTTGACTCGATTACTTGTTGATTACAATTGCCATGCATAGTGTTTGTTAAATGGAATAGATGGTTGGGTGACTAGGTAGCCATGTGAGCTTTGAGCCGATTGTTTTCTTCTTGTGTGCGTAGATCCCTCTTACCATGGAGTGTAACATCACAGTTGTCACCAGTGAGTATGATAGAGGCATAGGATTAGTCCACACCCAATGTTTGATGGTCCCGAAATGTGTTACCCCTTAGTCAACCTCTTTGAGCCTTGTGACTTCGAGGGTCGTTCTTAAATTAGAAGCTTATTGCTTGTGAGCTTAATGGTGTTAATAGAACGAACCCCAATCCTTTCTTCATGTCTAAACATGAGTCTTCCTTGTGTCCTGGAGCTCTAGCTTTCGAGTTTCATTGAGGTTCTACATAGGAGGTTTGTGTGCGGTTCTCTAGTACCCCCCTCAAAAAGAAAAGAAAAAGAAAGAAAAGAGAATAAAAAAAGAGGTAATAAAACGGGGTAAATAAAGTAGAGAGTGCCACGGAAAACCAAAGAGTATGCTCTAGGGGGTTTCTTGGCACTCAAGCCATTGAAATCCCCACATTTTTTTAGAACTCCTTCACTACCGAACCTTAATGTGATAGCAAGAGTTGACCGAGGAAGAGTGCCTTGAAATAGTTCACGATGGGTGATAGTTAGGAAGGGAGAGATAAGGTTTTTGGCCGATGCTAGTGGCCTTTGGTTGAAGAAAAGGGTTTTAGTCGGAACCATAGAACCTTAGGGTTTAGGTCGAAGATGTAGAAAGTCACATCATGATTGCCACCACCCAAAAAGCCTTTTACCCATGTCCAAGACAATTGCCAGTCATCTGAACCTGTGTCTAAGACCTCCGGACAAGTTAGTGATGACAACCATCCCGTGAACTCTAGCATTTAGAGGTTACCGCCGTGGTATTGAGACGATAGGGCCGAGAGTTAGTAATTGTGCACATATTTTTCACCAAAATGGTCCCGACCCCACTAGTCTTGAGAGTGAGTGATTCATTCTTGTTTTGAATGCCATATCATACCCCAGTGAGGACCTTTGTTGCCTTTCCTCTTGTTCCTCGGACTTTAATTCTATGCATGGTTAGTTGTGGTTGATAGGTGGTCTTGTTGAGACTTGCATTGATCCATGAACAAGGTGAGAACTTTACGCTTGCCCATTTTTGGTGGCTTCGAATGTCGTTTGTGGTGGATGTCGGTATTGCTTGCAACGGTCCATGCATTAATTGCCAATAGCCATTGAGAATTCCAGCTTTGTGCCCTTTGAGTTGTCCCCAAAGTATGTTTGTAGGTTGAAATATTACCTTGTGTGAAATAGTTTGCTTGGGGACAAGCAAACGTCTAAGTGTGGGGGAGTGATTCGAGCCTAATTGTACATATTTCACCCTGGTTTTCCTTAGGCGTTTGTGGCAATTGTGCTCCTGAAAGGGTGATTTTACGTGAGTTTTCTTGTGTTTTAGCATGTTTTGGGATCTAATAGGTGAAACCAGCCTCAGAGTCGAAAGTTGGACGAAAAGGAGCGAAAATCGGGAGAAGAGGTTAAAAGAAGGCAGTTCACGGCTTTCCTTGGATGTTCACGGTATTCTTAGACCATGAACTGGAGCTGTTGCCCGTGAACATCAAGGCGTCCATCAGTTGCTCCCTAAGGAATGGGGATTGTTTCCCAACAGTCCATTCTTCTTCTTAAGTTTCTAGCAGTCCTTCTTGATATGGTTATCCTTCTTACAGTATCGATAGAACAACCAACTTTGCTGGCCATAATCAACTTGACCCTTATCTCCTGGCTAGGTGTATTGGGTTCTGGAGGCTGCTAATGCTATTGCAAGGGCAATAGCTTCTTCTGTCTTCCCAGCATTAGTCTTAGCACCTTTAAGTTAACAACAGAACGATACACACTATCCAAGTCTGGAAGTGCATCCAGCATGAGCATCTGGGTCTTGACCTGCTGATACATTTCATTCAACCCAAGCAAAAACCTAATCACCCTTCCCCTCTCTTGATACCGCATTACAGTCTCATAAGTGCGAGATGCCAATCACAATAAGGAATGGGAAGGTAATTGTCAAGTTCATCCCAACAAAGCTTCAAATTAGTATGATATTCACGAATAGATTCGTTTCCCTACTTAACCAAATCGATTTTCTCCTGCAGGTTTGCAATACGAACAGAATCTCCCTGATTGAACTTACCCTTCAAGTAAGTCCAGGCTTCAGATGCAACCTTGACATTTCTCAGACATAGAATTTCTATTCCAACAAACTACAGTACCATTCACATGATCCTAGATACCTCGATTGTGCCTGCGATGAACCCTAGCTTGTTCTTTGTCCTAAGAGCAACCTCCATGGACTCACTCCATAGGAGGTAGTTGTCGTCTGTCAACTTGAACCAGATGACTGGGAGGAATGAATTGTCGCTTTGAGCAAGGTAGAAAGGGTTTGCGTAGGATCTTAGTAGCGTGGTGACGAGATCTCCTTGTCCTTGTTTTCTTTCTCACTGGAGGTCCCGTTAGCCATGGTGATGCTTCAGGGAAGCTCGGCAGAAGGTGATGAAGAAACAAGAGAGTGAGGTGATGGAAAAATCATACCGGTATGAGCCAACTAGGCTATGATACCATGAGAAAGTTTATAACCTATATATGGCGAACGACGTCGTTTAGCCATTTCCATTGAGCAGAATATATACAGAGGTTTTAAATACAGAGAAAGTAAAGGTACCATGCTTTAACGGCTAACTCTAACTATCTAACTAAAACGACGAATAGTGTAGTGCCAAGTGTCAAACAACGACCACTAATTACATAATCCAAATCCTTGGCGAACGGCGTCGTTTAGCCTCTTATTTATTTACCCGGTTTCCATAGCCGTGTCGGGTAAAAAGAAGCCTGACCCGGGTTATCAACCTGTTCATCCTGAAACAGCTGCAGAAGCTTCAATTTCTTCTCCAATGTCGATCAATCCTGCAGTTGTGCTTCATAATACAAAGGCTACTGTTGTCTGTAGTATGTTTTAGGAGATCAAACTTTTAGTATACCCAGTTCATTTGGGTCGGCTCAATTATACACAATCTAGACCCAACTCAATGATAAATAAACAAACAAATTTGAGTTCATTTGGGGTCCAATCCAATAATCACATTTGTTATGATAAATATTTGGTTCAAAACTCAAATGATCCATTGACATTGCTAGTTTAATAAGAGTGTGGTTCAGCAAAAAGGAAACAAAAAAAGTGAATTAAAACAATTAATGTTGGTCGTCCTTCCGAGTTGACATGAGTCTTTGTACAATCAAAATGGAACCACCTCCCTGGCCGGATAAAAACCTGCAACTATCCACGTGAATTTCACACCACACCCATTTTGGGGTTCGTATGTCGTCTCTGGCAGCACATGCACTGATGCACACAGCACACCCAGCCCAGCTACTAAAACAAAAGTCAAGCTAGAACCGGTTTCACGTTCACATTTATCCCTAACCGTACCGTCCCTAATGAACTGACTTCGTGCCCAGTCAGTCAAAACTCAAACAAGTTGTTCAACGGCTTGTCCAAGAAGCAGATCCAGCAATTGCTGCCCTAATTCCACGAATATCTCTTCAAGCCATTCATACACCTCCTCCACGTCATCGCCATTACTCCTCTTCTTCTGGTTCTTAATCCAGACCGTCCCTTTCACATCTTCCTCCACCAACTGGGCCACATATCTTGCTGTATCCACCTGATTCACCGCCGACGGTTGCTTACGCTCCAAGTAGTCACCACCGAGCCCGGCTGCTTCCTTCTTCTGCAAACTAGGCCTTGAAAGGGTACCTTTCGTTTCACGACTTTGCTTAGCACCTCTTTTCTTGCCTGTGAAAAGTAGGGCACAAAGGCTAAAAACTCAATCATGGATCGCTTTGCAGCAAAATAAAAATGGACGAATTAAAGGAAGAAGAAAGGGAACGGGACACCAGACCTGACAAACGAGAGGCAGGGGTTTGAATTGAACTAGCAGTTCCATCATCTATTGCAATTGGTTTCTGATTCTTAATCTTCTTCATGAAGTTGGACTCGACCATCACTTCCTTCTGATTCACGCTGGGTTTCTCCGGGCATTTCCTCCGATGGCTCTGCACCTTCTTCTTGAGCTGAGAAACAGAGCCAACAACAACTGAACCTGCAACTTGGTTTCCTCTGGCGTTGGCACTCGGTTTTGGTTTATCAGCAGCACCACCAGCCACCGCCGCAACTCTCTTCTTCTTTGTCTTTTTTCTCTGTTCAATTTGTTTCTGATCATCCATCTCCTTGCCCTTGCTTCTAATTCTACCCTCTTCTCTCCTCTGTTTCGACTGCCCAGAAATGGTACTACGGATCTCGGATTTTGTAGTTACTTTGGACCCGATTCTTGCCTTGGGTTTCTCTGCTTTATTAGTATCTTCCAAGTAAAGTAGGAAGAAATCGGGGTGATCTTGCGCAGCGAGTATCTCTTCTCTGAAGGATGCGGAAGTTCTGACCCGACGGTGCTGCGCGTTAGAGGAAGGTGACGGCGATGACAAGTCGAGGTGTAGCAAGTAGTCCACGAAATTCACGGACCTGCTTCTGCTAACGGAGTGACGGGCGGCGGCGGAGCTTCTCCGCCAATTTGAGGAAGTGGTCGCCGGCGGCAGGGAGTCCAAACCCATCAGCCTTGCCACTATCCCCGGTGGAGCAGCTGGAGGGATTCGAGTCCCGTCGCTGCCAACATGTTGGCAATCGAAGTAGAGATCTTTGGGAGGGATGAAGCAGGAGCGATTGGTATGGAGGATTGGGTCGGGGATGGGATCAGATGGGTGGGTTTGGAGATGGCCTTTGCAGAGAAGCAGGCGCACGACGGCGGAGAAACAGCCGGATTCGTTGCTCATGGCTGCTTTGTTTTTCTGTCTTCTGTGGATGAATAATTATTGGGACGATTAAGGAGACTAATAAGAGAGCTGAGCTGACTGTAGAGTTGACTAGTTGGGAGTTTTGGAGAGTGAAAAGAGCAGTAGTTTTGAGGGCGGGTTTTTTTGGATTTGAATTGGGTTTGGTGTTTAGAATGGGACGTGTTTCTCTGTAGTGTGGAAGAAAAAAAAAGGGCAGCCAAGGGGCATTAGAGTTTGTGGGTCATCGTCCAATTCAACATTGTTGGATATTATAAAGAAGTCAGAGAGGGATATTTGGTCCATTCCATTCCTCCCTCCATATATGAAAGAATATGATCCCTTCCCACCTACCCACCATTAGGGGGAAAACGACTGGTCGTTTATACATTTGGATAGTGTACGTTTCCTGATAGATTGATGAAATGATACCCTTTGTTTGTTTGTTTGTTTGTGTGGGTGGTGGGATTTTCCTTGTTAAATTATGCACTAATGGAATAGTGGGGGAGAGGAAAATTTGAATGTTTCCTTCCGGGTAATGAATGGGATGGGTAGAAAGGAGGGAGGGAGGGCAGGTTTGTTGACTTGAGGGGCAATCGTAATCCGCGTGTTGGACCACTCGCCCATTTCCCACTTCCGGCACCGACTACTGAGCCACACGCTGAGAGACTGGAAGTTTGACGCACCATAACAAGAGAACTTTGTTTTGTTCGTTCCATTGCACTCTCTGCTTACTGAAACCAATGTACAATCTCAGGCAATTCCATTCCAACCACCAAATTATTTCACAAATCACTTCGTCCTGTTCCGCCCCAGCTCCTGGATTATAATTTGATCAATCAAATGCAACAGAATTCATCGCGCAATAATGCAGGCTCGTTAAAGAACAATTACTTAACATATAGTTGAAAAACTGAAGTTGATAGATGTACATCCATCTCAGTGTTTCGTGAATTTTTCTCAATAACGGCGGACGACATATCTCCTATATTGATGATACAAGGATTTTGTTTGTGCCTGGATACTTTGGAGTCCAACTCCCCACCAGTTCTATCCCAGCACTACAACTCCAAGGCACCTGACCTGCACACATGCACACAGAGGAGGGCGCCTGGGCTCGTTAGTCTTTCGACGATCAAATCAGTTTGGATTTTAGAAAGAGAAGTGTCAAACTCTAGTGTTTAGTGAGAGAGTCCAACCTGCGTAAATGCTACCTACCGGCACTATTTATACTCACCCAACCCTGAACCAGGCTTCATCAACCTAGTTCCACGTCAGCATCGCATTTAATACTTCGTAATCTGTCAGACTGGACGCCCCGACCAACCTGTCAGGCCTCTGACAGGTACAAGGCGCCCAGACCGTACTTTCTTGGAATCTTCCTAACCTTGTCTCCTAGCTTCCCATATTACCCTTGGGTCTGGCCTCGCGAATCAATCCGCGGACTGGGTCCACGAAGCATCCTCTTCTTCCTCATTGGGCCACCTTGGGCCTTTCCTTGGGCCTACCTTTGTAATGTACGTGGGCACCGGCCGTGCCGCCCACGGGCTAGCACGGCACGGCACGGTTAGAACACGACACGAGCACGGGCACGAAATAAATGGGCCAGCTCGGCACGAGCACGAATAATTTATGGGTCGTGCCGGGCCTAAACTTCATGGGCACGAGCACGACACGGTATATAAGTGGGCCGTGTCGGGCCTAATTTTTTTGAGACTTTCTTGAGTATAAGAACGGACATGAGACAAAAATAATATTTATTTTATAGAAAATAAATATAAAAAGAACTATAAGTTCAAATATTACAAAACATAAGGAGAAAAATAATTATTTGTTGTCGTTAGAAATGTCATAAAGATATGTATGTAATTACTAACATAAGTAAAAATGGACAAAGAATTAAACAAAGCCAAATCACACTCGCTATACTTCCAGTTTTCTTTCCCTCCTTATTTGTTACTTTTTTCAAACATTATCGGTTAATATTATCTTCCTCCGTCCTATTTTCACCTTCTTTTTCATTATCTCTTTTGTTTTCGTCTTTTTCATTAAACACGAATACGAGCATGATACAAGCACGAATAGGCACGGCACAATTCGAACCGTGCCCGGGCCTGGGCCAGGCCTAGCAAAGTTAACAAATGGGCTTGCATGGCACGACACGAAATAAATGGGACTGAAGCTTGCCCATACCGTGCCGGCCCAAGCACAGCCCAACGCCCATGTACACTTTGTAATTCCCCCAACAATTGCCCCCCATCTCCCTTACCCTTTGCACATAACTTTCAAGTGCATCTTCTTTGACCTCGTAAATCCCTTTGAGCTGATTGATCACGAGAGCCGAATCGGACTTAACTTGCACCTTCTGGGCGCTCAACTCCTTGACCATGTGGAGTCTGGCGATGACCACCTCATACTCAGCAGCATTGTTCGTTTTCAACGATGCAAAGCGTAGTGCAACTTCATGCATCACCCCCATGGGGCTAATGATCACGATTCCTGCCCCAGCCCCGGTGCGGCTGGCCGCTCCATCCACTTGCACTTGCCAACTATCTTCACCCTCCGTTTCACCTGCCACTACTCCTTCCGTGACAAAGTCCGCCAATACTTGAGCCTTTATCGCTAGCCGGGGCGCATATTGTACGTCGAACTCGATCAATTGCACTGCCCATTTGACGAGGCGCCCCGCCACGTCCATTGATCCCAGTGTAGATTTTAGAGGGAGATTAGTGAGTACGACAATGGAGTGCGCCTTAAAATATGGTCTCAGCTTGGTTGCTTCCGTGACAACCGCCAACGCGGCCTTCTCAATGGGGGCGTACCGCCTCTCGTGTGCAATCATTGTTCGGCTGACGCAGTATACCGACTTCTCTTTTCCCGTCGACGCCGCCCGCGATACTAAGACCGCACTCACCGAAACTTCGGAGACGGCGATGTATAGGTACAAAGTCTCCCCAGCCCGGGGCGCCGTCATTACAGTTTGCTTGGCAAGTAGACACTTCAGTTCTTCGAATGTTTCATCACACTCGGCGTTCCAACGAAAACGCACTGCCTTTTTAAGCGTTCAAAAAGCGGGGCTTCCTTGTCGGCCGACCTTGGTATCAAGTGCTCCAACGCTGCTAGCATGCCTGCTAGGTCTTGCACCTCCTTAGGTGTTTTTGGATGCGCCAATTTGACAATTGCGTCCACCTATTTTGGGTTGGCCTCGATGCCCCGCTTTGTGATCATTAAGCTCAAGAATTTTTCTGCCTCGGCACCGAACACGCATTTGAGCGGGTTAAGCCGAAGCCTATGTTTTCGCATAGTCTCGAACGTTTCCCGTAGGTCGCCCAGGCGATCTTCCCGCTTACCACTTTTCACTATCAGGTCATCCACATAGGCTTCCACATTCCGACCTATCTGGTCACGAAAAACATTGTTGCCCATGCGCTGATAGGTGGCACCCGCATTCTTCAACCCAAAGACCATGACCCGGTAGCAATAGTTTCCGAAATGAGTCATGAAAGTCGTCTTCGCTCGGTCCTCCTCGGCCATGGGGATTTGGTGATATCTAGAAAACATGTCCACAAAGCTGAGCATCTCATGATAGACGGTGGCGTCTACCAACTGGTCTATGCGAGGCATCGGGTACGCATCATTAGGGCATGCTCGATTGAGACTTGTGAAATCGACGCACATCCTCCAATCCCCCTGACGACTTTGGCACAAAGACCACGTTCGACAGCCAGGTGACGTAGGTGGCTTCTTCCACCAAATTTTCTCCAAGCAATTTGCTCCTTTTCTTGCGACAAATTTCTTCTCTTCTGCTGGAGAGGCATCTTCGCGCGCCACGCCGGGCATCTCCATGGCGGTCTACGCGAAGAGTTCTCCAAACTCTCGTAGTAGGTCGATCAACCGTTCTCTCATTTCCACAGACGCTTGTGCCGATATTCAAATTTGTCTATCGAGACGCCCCTCCTCCAAAGTGATTAGAAGGTCTTCATCTGCGACCTCGGTCCGGGACGCCTCCTCTGGTGGGATGTTCACCACATTAACTCTCCCATCTCTTCGTAGGCGCTTACCTCCTGTCTCGCGGGCATACGTGGGGCGCTTCGTCCTCGGGTCACTCCCACTCCTTGAGGGGACGATGAACTTTAGGGTCTGATGGCACGTGGACGCCACTCCGTTGAAGAGGCCAAGAGGGGCCTCCCAAGTATCGCGTTATACGGGGATGGGCAGTCCATTATTCCGATGTCTACGGTGTGAGTAACCCTTTGCTCCTCGTCTCACAGAGTTACGGCCAGACGCACTCGGCCGATCACTCTCGTGGGCGCCCCGTAAAATCCAATTAGCATAGAGTCTGAGGGTCGAATCAAATCTGGCGACAAATACATTTGTGCCACAGTTTCTTTAAACAACACGTCCATAGAGTTTCCTGTGTCAACTAGCATCCGTTTCACCTTGCAAACCGCCACCACTCCTTCTACCTCTAGCGCGTCCATAGACGGAAGCCTACATGCTTCCTCAGGCGTCTAGTTGAAACAGATGCTGATTGCCTCCTAGGCGCCCACCGAAGCTGCCCTTAAATGGTGGTTTGCTTCCAATTTTTCCCGCAAGTCGATTGACCCTTCAACTCCGTACTGGCTACACAAGTGCGGTGCGTTTTCTCTTCGGCTTTTCCTATAAAGTCATTGAGCATTCCTCTGTCAACCAAGCCTTGAAGCTCTGTCTTCATTTGATAACAATCGGCGGTATGGTGCCCTCTCTCCCGATGGAAATCGCAGTATCAGTCTAGATTCCACTCATTAGGTTGCCCTCTCATTGGTCATGGCCATCGGACATGATATCCCTTCTCCTTGACATACTGGAGCACGTTCTTCAGTGTATCATTAAATTTTGCGAAGGAGCCCACCCCTCGCAATTGGGGGCGCTCTGTGTCCATCCTTCTCCCTGGCGCATAACCTGCAGGAGTATGCATCGGCCCTGGGGGAGGCATTTGTCTTCGTGAAGTCTCACCCTCTTCTCCTCTAGTTCGGCGCCTATATGCCCTCCTAGCGGCCAAGGTTTCCTTCAACACAATTCCCTTTTGCAGCCTATGGTCCAGATCTTCCGTGGATACCACATATCTCTTTGCCAACGCCCTACAAAGTTCCTCAC